CTCCTTGTTCTCTTAATACCAGCCAGGCTCTCAATCTCAACCTCTCAAATATGTCTATTGTTCTGTCAGATCGTCAACGAGACGAACTGTAAGTACAGACTATTCAACTAATAATGCTATCACCCGTATTGTGCTTGTGTCGTCATCCAGAGCCTTGCACCTGAGAAACCCACTTCTCAGTCACTTGTCACACTATCAATATTTCTGTCATTCGTAAATAAACTTATGTTAACCTTGTAATCTGTATACAAATTATCTCATTACGTGTGATATCGTATTAACCGTGATATCTTGAATCTATCCAAACGCACGTCAAGTCATAAAGCCATCCTCGATTATCTTCATGCAAATGGCTATTCAGAATCTTTTAATTCGCTCAAACTGGAAGCACATCAAGATGACTTCAATTCGGACCCCAAACAGAAATATTCTGGATTGCTCGAAAAGAAATGGACTTCTGTCATCAGATTGCAGAAAAAGGTACAATTTGAATTCTTTCTTTTTTTTTTTCACAATAGACGATCAAGTTAACTATTTATTGACGATGCCTGGAAATCACTGCTTGGAGCGTTTGCTTACCCGCCACCAATCTTTAGTATTACAATAATCACATTATTTTATTGTTCAAGTTTAGATCAATATTTGGCTATTTCATCCATCAATTAACAAGCTTTTTTTATCTTGTCTCTTTTCCTCCATGATACTCTCTTTAGATAATGGATCTCGAGAATAAAATTACACAGATGCAAGAGGAATTGTCTACTGCAACACCTAGGAAACCTACTAGCACTGTGGATTGGGTTCCGCGTGCGCCAGAGAAATACGCTCTAACCGGTCATAGGAACCCCGTCACACGTGTTGCCTTTCATCCTGTATTTTCTGTGCTGGCATCGGCATCTGAAGATACGACTATAAAGATTTGGGATTATGAGACTGGCGAATTCGAGCGGACGCTCAAAGGACATACGAAAGCAGTCCAAGATATCGCTTTTGATCCCAAGGGCAACTTTTTAGGTACGTCTGCATATGATAATACGTAAACCTCGTATCTCAAACATCAGTTACAGTATTCGTGTCAACGCTAACCGGACTGACGATTTCGTCTTTTCGCCCTGCATTTAGTATCCTGCTCTGCAGATCTGACGATAAAGGTTTGGATCTGCAGAATGACTACAAATGCGTGAAAACTTTATATGGTCATGATCACAGCGTTTCGTCCGTTGCTTTCCTACCATCTGGAGATACAATCGTTTCGGCATCGCGAGACAAGACAATTAAACGTTGGGAATTTGCATCGGGGTTGGTAATTGCCCATTGAGCTGCTGGAGGGTGAAAAAAAAAAAAAAGGGAATACTGTTCTCCTGTTTCTATAATTGACCAATTACCGACCGAATAGGTACTGTGTGAAGACTTACTTTGGCCATCTGGAGTGGGTACGATCTGTATCCCCTAGCGAGGACGGAAAGTGGTTGATCACTAGCTCTAATGACCAGGTGTGTATTTGCTATTCGGGTCTTGCGAATACGAGCTTAACAGGCAACAATCGCGCATACTGTTTATTTGGGATGTCACTCATATATTAATAACGTCTTTTTTTTTTTCCAGACTGCACGCCTGTGGGAAACAGCTAGTGCCGAGTGTAAAATGGAATTTAGGGGTCACGATCACGTCGTAGAATGTGCGATATTCGCGCCTACTGATGCATATCCTTTCAT